AATCTTACTGTTCCCGTATCGCACCACTTGTTAACCAATAGTGGCGTTTTGGACATATTCATCACCAAGCCTATCCGCCGGCCTACCGCATTAAGTTTATTAACCATCTTTTCCATTTCAGCTGTGCTGCTAGAAATCAAGACGATATCATCGGTTAAGCGGAATTTATTGATCTTTTTGCCGTTGGCGAGATATCCTCTTACCTACTAGTCGAGGATCAACATCGCGTACTGTAACGCAGCCGTGAAAAGCTTAGGGTATTTCGCATCTCCTTATCGCACCCCCTTTTCAACTGGAATCTTCAACTTTCGCTCGATAAACTGGATGAATGTTAATGTGTTTGAAAGGCACCGTTCGAGCAGATGGACGTGGGTGGGATCAACTCCAACTTGTGCAAAAGCATTTAGCAACAGTGTTGATCTCCACAGAGTCGAACGCCTTCCTGTAGTCCATGAGAAGAAGGCCCGAAGGGAGGCGATACTCTTGGCTTCCTTCAACGAGCTGAGTGATTGCTTGGATGTTGTTGACGCAGTAGTTTTTCCTGATTCCGGTCTGCTCTACTGGCTGGTATTCGTCCAAAAAGCATTCTATGCGATTGAGCAGTATTTTCGCGGATGACTTGTACACCACTGATAATAGGCTGATGGGACGGTAGCCGGAGATGTCCTCGCGCTGACCTATTTTGAGAAGGAGAATGGTTTTTGATTCTTTCCACTGCTCTGGATTCCTTCTCATTTTATGGAAGTGGTTGAAGTGTTTTGCAAGAAGGGTGTGAAGAGCGGTACTCCCAGAACGGAACAAATCCGCAGGGATATTGACCGAGCCTGGAGCTGTTCCTTTCTTCATGCTTCTAATTGCATTCGCCACTTCCGATTCTAGGATAGCGGGAGGCTCTTTATAAAGCGGTATCGAGCATCTAGGCACAAAAGTGGAGGAACGAAATAGTTCGGTTTAGAATCTTGGACAATGTTCTCAGAACTTCTTGACGATTTTACACTTATATCTTTGTCCAATAGAGCCGACACGACAGCTTTCTGATCGTTGAGATCTCGTTTGCATCGCTTGATGCTCCATCTCGCTTCGGCTGTTTTCAGTAACTTGGTTCTCCTGTACTCCCCAATAGATTCCTCGACAGCTATACGGCAGGCTTTGTTAACGAGGGCTTTCTCCACGTGGTCGGCATTGGGATCCTGTTCGAGTGCTCTCCTTCTTTCCAAGAGGGATACGGCAAGAGCATTCAACCTTGGAGTTTGGGCTAGCTGCGAGCGACGAGAAATGTCTGCACTCTTGAGGTATTCTTAGTCTTCTATGGGATCCTCTAAAAGACGTCAATCATAGGCTCCAATGGCACAATCAGAGTAGCTCTGGATCAAATGAAGGAGTCTTAAAGTGTGCGGGGCATGTGCGTGTCGCGTTAGGATATCCGCTTGTTGAGTTGTATCTTTGCGCGCAGTAGGCGATGATCCGAGCCGGTGTAAAAAGAGGGCAACACAGGAACATCAAGTAGACTTCAGCGTCGATTAGTGAGAACATCTACTTCCGTATGCGTTCGGCCTTTTGGACTCTTCCACGTCCATAGTCGGTTTTTCGAATATGGAATATCCACTGAAAAGGCGGCACGCATATAGAAGGATCAGGAGAAGTTCTCCGTCTTTGGTTCTGTCGCCAGAGCCATGTGGTCCGAGCCTCCAATCTCCACTGCAGTTCGTGCCCACGACGGCGTTGAAGTCGCTTACGACATATTTGAAGTACCTCTTCTCTTCTTGAATCGTATTCTCCGAATGTCTATAAAACTCCTTTCGATCTTCCTTCACCGCCGCGGATGTAGGGCGGATGTAGGTACATATACACTGATTAGAGAAATTGAGCAGGGGACGGCAAGACGAGGGCCGACCATGTCATGTGAGTCCACTAGGTGAGCGATTGTCGAATTGTTCAGAAATCCAACTCCACCAACACTGCCGTCTGCTTTGGGTCTGATGACGAGCAGCTCATTGTGGTCCGTTTTTCGAATGGTTTCCATTCTGCCTCTCGTCTCCTGTAGTGCGAAACATCATATTTAAACAGCTGGCTACTCAGCAAACGCATCCGAAGGTCCAATGCTATAGTGCGGCAATTGTACGAGCAGACGAAAAGGGAAGATCTCCGGGGCTTCAGCTTTAATGAGATCCTGATTCCTGCGAGATTAGATGGCCCTTCATCAGTAGAGGCTTCCCACGACGCCTTAGGGGAGCATACACGATGTGCGCAGGACTGGGGCGCAATTATAGCTGTTTGAGCAACTTGGCTGGCCTCGGTTACTCCCTTGTTCCTTGCCAGGGATACAAAGAAGCCGCCCATGCGTGTCCATTCGCAGCGTTGGCCACCGTTTGCTATGGCGTCACCCTATCGCCGCGGTGAGGTCGTACAATTTTTAAATACAAATACAAATAATAATAAAATTCCAGACATCGATTAGGAAAAAATTATTTTGGTGGAACAGTTCAGTCCGGAAGACTCTTGTTAACTTTCCACGGAATTCACTGTTTCAGAATGTCTTGCTTCATTTGAAGCGGGTCGGCGTCTTTTTTCCAACAAACAGCCTGAGGAATCACATATGACAAGAAAAATGAAGGGGTAGAAAATGATTTCAGCCGAGTTTATGTTTACAACCTTCCGATGTTTGCATGATCTATTCAATTGATGATAATCCCCTACATCTATTCAATTAGTGACCGATTTTCAAGTGCTCTAGCTAATTTCTCCAAAATTTGCTGATGTTGGACAACAACATAACATTACTAAGGTTCAGTAAGGTTTCCATACATCATTTCAATCCCAGGTCTTCCATTGAAATGAAGACACCTTGAAGGCACAGTTCTTGAAAATTCCGGCATATCTAGTTTAGAAGAGCAGTGGAAGTTATAGTCTAAAATAGCGCAAAAAAAGCCGAAGGAAACGCGATAGTCTGCGTATATGGACAAATATAAGGCTTCAAAAAAGAAACAAAATCAGGGGTTGGACGAGGATGTGGCGGCAGATGTTGTATGGAAAGTGTATTCAGTCGAACTGTTAAAATATGTGCCCCACTGCATTCTGCTGGGTGCATAAAGCTGTCTGCGCGCAGGGCCCAGATCCTCCTAGATCCCGACGCGAATGATGCAACTTCTACAGCTCTTTCAACGCAGGAGAGCTCGCCCGCTTTGAGTGTACACGTCGGTTAAGCCTTTTCTGGGGTGATCAATACGCCATATCTTTTCCGTGTTTCAACCCGACAGTTTTCCCTGGGCTATCTCTGCGGGTCACCGTTCTATAGAAGGGTAAAATTCAGAGACCATTTGCGACATGAATTGTGCCTTAACTAAGATTATCTTAGGAACTTTTCAGAAATGAGGACGTGCTCGCCATGTAATCCAAGAATTCTTTTGCAAGGAAGGCATTATATTCATAAGATTTTACGACATCTTTTAAAATGAGAACAGCACCGTTTGACTGATAGTTAAGTTCTGAAATTCTCAGACTTCTTGCAGCTACCATTACAATTGCAAGCCGTTCAAGCCCTTTCTATTTTCAATTCTGACATGATCCGCTATCACATCTCTTGCAGCATCAATCTAAAAATGGCTTGCGATGTGCTTAGAAACAATTGAAGAGGCATAATAGAAATTATGCGCATGATTCTGTGTGAGGTTCAAGAAACATAACGAAAAAGCTTTGAAGACGGAGTGTTAAACATGACTGTGCTCTCTATTCTACAGGAGGTCTCTGGAGCGATTCATCCTGGAAATGAATTCAGTTTAGCACACTTCAAAAAGTGTTTATTTCATTTAACGTGAAATGACTTATAACAAAAATGCGGGAAGCGCACTTTCGTCATTTTCAGAAGAGAGAGCGGGGAGAGAGATGATGTCGCCTGATCAGATTTAATATTCTATTCCTTCGAATTATCTTTATTATCGAATCTCAAATCAATTACGAACATTTACGTTCTTAGGAATGGAAAACCAACCAACGCTTCACATAATCTGCCCTTACCATTTAGTGTAGTACTAGACTATCTTCTACTGTGAAGAATGCTTTAGTAAATTTATGTGCCACGGTGTCACAGACGCTCGTGCACCCCATTACTCGATTGGCAGTATAGGGCGCTTAGAGGCACAATTCACGATAATTTTGGGTAATCCAGGTTATGACGAAAAATGGAAGATACGATGGAAAATAGTGCGGTGAAGGCGAAGAAACTGCATGAATCGGTATTTCCAAAGTGAAAAAAGGGCTTCGAATCGTTAAAAAGGGGCTGGACGAGAATGAGACCAGAAAATGAAGAAGAATGGGGCTTCAGGATCTATGCATTGTTTCTCATTGCGTAGGTATGGGTCCTGGTGCAAATGACTGACTACGGAAAGCAAAAATTCATTCACTCATAGGCATACGTTAACAACGAAACCCTAGTAACAGCAAAAATGGCGTAGCTTCTTCAGTCCCATGGAGTAGAAAATTAAATAGAGGATCGCACCAGCAAAAAGAATAACAGAGAATAAATGAATATAAAAACATGGCCTCATCACTCAGCGATCAGTTGATTGTGTGTGGGTCCTAGAACGAATATTGCAATTTGTATCGACTCGATACTCGTTTGACGTAACATCGGTCGAGTGGCAGGGCATCCGGGCTCGCACTGTGCATTAGCTGTTGAGTTTTGGAACTCAACAGCGCCTATCCCGTTAACCTTTGTGGCCACTGGGTATTTCTGGGGGAAGAAATGAGAAGTCATTTTCATCGTGAACTGTTCCTTTAACAACGCAGCTGGACATCAGTTGTTTTTTCAGAAGAAATGGCGAGGGCTAATCCAGTAATCCTGGTTCTTCTTTCGGTAATTGTACTGGGATTAGCTGCGATCGTTATTTTGACCAATGTCTTGTCGGCATCAATGGTCACTAATGAGCAGTATTTGCCAGGTGATTTTCCTTAGTTGTGTAAAATCTTCTACTGTTTGATTGGTTCATGTTTTGGACAGAGTAATGTTTTTCGCATTACATCTTGGGGACCCTGACAACCAACCACTACGACGACAGAAGCGGTCCGCTGTTGAGAACGGGTCATGCAGCTTCGAAATGGTAGGTTTTCAAACAAATTTTTTTAGTAATCCTTAGTAGCACAGACCTTTTTGAAAGTTGAACCTCCTTGAAAGTTCACCAAGTTTACCAGAGAAGCGAAAATCAGATACATAATAAAAAAATTCCATACATGATGTTAAATTCTTGTTCAGACTCTGACTTGCTGAGAGTCAGAAAGGGTTAGGTTTGAAACTTATCCATTCTCGCGCATACCTCTTTTGTATCATCGGAACGGCAGAAGACAAGCTTACAAATTTTTTCGATTTTCTATTTTTTCTGCTGACTGCTTAGAAACAGACGCGAAGATTTATTTACTTCTTAAACTCGTTTCATGCTCGCCTTGATATCATACAATTGAAAGCAACACAATTCACCTATCCTACACTCTCTTCCTAACCCCTTCATTGGGCTTGATCTTAGCTCAGATGAAATGGCAAGTAGCTGAGCAGCAGAGGTTCTTTCCCTATACCTCTGCTCGGAGGCGATTTCGTGCTCCTCCACCAGCCGTGTCAACAACGTCACTCAGTCTTTGAACACTTCTGGTTTCCTGGTATTCAATTATGTTGTACCGTTCCTACCACTCTCTTGATAACCTTGAAAACTAACATTGAAAGATAATAAAATGATGCAGCCGACGTGATTCTGTGATTCGATGTTACTATTTTCTGCAAGATATTTCATTGATACTAGGTAGTCAAAAGCTCTCCGGTACTAAGCTGCTCATGAGGCGTAACTTTTGAAAAACGTGCACGATCCTTTTGTCCATGGCATATGTAGGAGGAGGGCGGAGGCCTCATTGTAGCAGTTTGTCTTAGCATTCCGCTGCTAACATGGCTTGAAAAATCGTTTTCGACAAGAAGCAGATTTGAAGTTTTTGCTCTATGAATTCAACAAATATGTCAACGCTAGTGATAAGAGGAGAAGGCATGTGATGCGATGAGGCCTCCAGCATCCTCTTACAACAGAACAAAACTTTATTCCGCAAGTTTGAAAAGGTCGGCTATCACTTCCACGATGAATCACGATAGGGTCTACCAACCGAAGTGATCGAAAGCGCCTTCTGAGTTTAGGTGAAGAGAGTTCTTGAGAGAACACGTTTGTCAGAACTACTTCATTGTCATTAATAGACATTACTAAGCCATCTTCATCGCCATGTCATGAAAATGAAGTGCTGGATACCACATGACTAAGAGCCCAGCAGCTTAGATCGAGATGCCTGTTTGAAGTGTCAAACATTTCCACAGACTTATGCATAGCTCGACAGCCTGGTCACTAGCGACGAAAAATGGATTATCCACGCGGAGCACGTAGCATTCATCAGAGGCTCAAATGCACCGAACTTGTTATTCTAACGTTGAGTTCCATCTTGAAAGAAAAGGCCTAGTGTCACGTGGTTGCAAAGAGACCACTGCATCCGTCCGTCCATGTATCCATCCATTCATCCATTCATCCATCCATCCATCCATCCATCCATCCATCCATCCATCAATCCGTCCATCCATCCATCCATACATACATACATACATACATACATACATACATACATACATACATACATACATACATACATACAAGTGGACGTAAAAAGGAGTAATTAGAAAGTATGGCAAAGGCAGAGGTTTTACCCGGTCTTAAGATTCACGCACTTATGTTATTGAAGCAATATTCACTTGACAAATGTTTTTAATAGGCTGTTAAGAAACCTTGTGCGATCTGAATCCACATATTCACTATGATGCAGGAAAACATGTGAAGGGGGGTACACCATAAAACCAGTCGATTGATTATGTAATAAAAGGAGAACGCTGTTATTCACCTTCAACGGACTGATGTAGAGACATCATGGCAACCGGGAATAAAAAGTTTCAATCTCATATACCGCATCTTGCATGATAAGAAACAGCTTTAGATTATGGACAGTTAGACAAGATGTCGCTCTTTCACCGAAAATATGTACCTCGAACTGTACTTAGTCAACTGTCATTAAGCTCGACAATGAATGTCTTTGCAGAATGTCAACAGAACCCGTGAATCCATCATACTGATGGAGAACGACTCTTTACGGTTCAGACTCATTCTGTATGAAAACACAGCAAATGCCACTCCGCCGATGGCAGCAAGGGAAGCGGTCGAGAAGCTCAAGAATGTTCAACCAACAAAAAACCCCAAGAAGGCCAGTCAGACGTCGTAAGTATTCAACTGGAATTTGAACGTAATTTTTGAACGGCATTTGTATCATTTCCAGGGAATGTGAAGTCGAATCCACATCAAAAACTAAGCTCAGCTATGCATTTCAAGGGAGACTTGAAGCATTGGACTTATTCTCTCCCATTGCATTTACGGTCCACAGCAAAATCTGATGGTCTCACCTCACCCTAACAAAAAATGGCTAGCAGAAGAGGAATGGTGCATCATGAGTACATTAGTAGCAGTAGGGCATTGTCATAGTTGATGATGGAGAGGTATCTAGTGAATCACTGCGCATGCACGTGCAGTAAGCCTGTTCCTGTTGCAGTAAGCCTTGTTTGCTCCCAATATACATATGTACATGTAGATAGGATTCAGACGTTAATCGCAACAGATAATTCTCCGAAACTACTACTCTACTTATATGGACCCTCGATGAGAGAAAAGCACTTGAGAAATGACTCGAACCTGACTTGGGTAGCCACTTCTACTGGTGGCTCATCTGGCAAATGTTAAGTGACGTACCTTTTCAAGCAATTATTCATTCGCACTTACTAATGTCAACGCTGTCTGCAGCATTTATATCCTAACTTGACACAAACCGTGTGTGTAGGTGTGTAGGTGAATATTTGGGTAAGTGTTTGGGTGTGTTTGGGTGATATATGAAAGACAGGATCTGAAAAAGCGAAGGCCACTATGGAAATTAGTGGTTCTCCACACGTTATGCTTTCGTAGAGAAATTCTTCGAAGAGTCAAAATACGAAGACAACTTCGGACACTTGAGAAACAAAGCCAATCCTCATGCGTTCCCATCAAAGCCTACGAAATTTACCCACAAGAAGTATTCGTGTGTGCCTAGTCTATTCCAAGATCGGACTCATTGTCGGTGACTCTACAATTCTACAGTTTAAGTCTCGTGCTTTTCGAACTTAGTTCTTGGGCGCTCCTTGAGAACCCCCTCAATGAATCCTCTCCATAAGATAATAGCGAATTGTGGCTGGATTTTCCTTACATTAAGGTTCGATTCACAGCTTCAGGGATAAGTGGCCTCACAGGCCAATAAAAGCGTTTTACTCCTTGCCTGAGAGGTGTAGAGGTGTAAAATGAGAAAGTTATCATGAAGAATGTTACAAGAGCGAGAGGGAACTTGTGAGTTCACTTGAGTTACTGACGTACGCACCTAGTGCGGTTATAAACAGATGCAAGGCTAGACCGCCCAAAATAAAAATCCTTCCGAAGCAACGAAATTCTAGCACTCAAAAAGTGCGAAAAATAAGACAGTCAACTAAACCAGTGCCATCGGAAATACGGAGAGCCCAATGAAGGGAGCCCGCTGAAACAAAAGGTTGTTGGGGTAGCCACCTGAGGCACTTCCTTGACTAATCCTTTTTCAACGGAAATTTGAATAAAAACAATTCTTGACTGTAGTAAAGGTTTTGTAATAGTTATTGTGGAAGATATTACATCATATGGGACGGACAGCCTTATCAGAAGAGACTTTACATTGGTCATCGAGTCTCTGTGTGCACACCAAACTATAATAGTATCTTAGATGTGCACAGAAGTTAGTGCGATTGCCTGGATGTCCGAAAACAAAGAACCGTCACCGTGATTACTTGACTTTCGATCCTTTATCATCAAAATTGGTTCTAATGTATTCGGATAGAATTAAGAACTGTTCAGATTAGCGTTTTCCGTTTTCTTCCTGTTTATTATTTTGCTTCTTTTCAGGGCTTTAAGGATATTCAAGCAGCTATCAAATAAAAGGAAAAATGACCTTTTTGTGCTATTCGTGCCCTGCAAAGTCGATGTGTATGTTTCTTGCACTCCATTCAATATCCTGCAGCGATGATCCGCTTTAATTATTTTGGGTATTCCCGGCAAGATCAATATCGTGGAGGGAGGTAATTCGAGTGCTCTTGCGCATGATTATAATTGTTGCTACGTATAGCAGTGTTGCAGCGCCAACGGAAGTACTGAGTGCTTTTTGATTCTCTTTCTCCCCAGGGCGAACACGAGCCGTTATCTTTACTTACTTGTCTCTACTTCAACTTCAGTCGTTACCTCGGCTGCTGGAGTTCTTCCTTGATCACATCCCGCCACCCCTTCTTCGGGGCTCATCTTTCCATGAGCGTCAAACTCCATTGCCCCTCTTGTTCGATAATTCGTCGGTGTTCTTAGCATGTGTCTGCACCATCGTGAACGCTGCTTCCATGTCTTATTTGGACAGAAGCTCCTAGAGTCCGATTTTGTTTAGCAGCGTTCAACAGCAGCCCATCTGAGTATCCTCATCTCAGCGTGTTGAAGCTGTATCAAACTACGTTTACTCACGAGCCAGCACTTGCTCATAGGACAAAGTGGCTGTTCGGTATACACTCCCTTTGCTCGTTCTTGGGCAGCGCCCATGCAGCCATTATTCGGACTTTTAAGCCTGATCCACGCTGCCATCAGCGGCTAATTCACTCTCCAAGTACCGGAGGTGGTGTCCCATTTCGATGGCTTCCCAGGATCGTCCAGGACGGCTTCCATGCACTCCTCGGACCAAGATCCCATTTCCGACAGTGCCTCTATCATTTTACAGCTTTTCCTGAAGTTCTTCTCTCTCATTTCTGATATGAGAGCGATGTCATCAGAATAGAAGATTGTCTTCAGTGTCCATTCATAAGTTCTTTTGTGATGACATCCTGGAAGAAGGGAGAGAAGCGAGCTTCGAGCTGACGGTTAGTAAACCTCACCGCAGCGTCTACTCCCTTTGTTAGGCCGTGAGGTATGTGAATGACAGTCTTAGACCCATCGTACGTTCCCTTAATGAGCAAAATTAGGTGTTCAGAAATGTTTCGTTCTCAGAGCCCTTTCCAAATTCTCAGATTCGCACACAGTTGACCAGATCCCATGGTAATTGAAACACACCGTTATCTCGCTTCTGCTCAACAGAGGAGACGATAGTGCTGCTCTTAAAGCACTGAGTCTTCTTCCAATGGCTGTAGCGTTCAGGAATAGGATGAGCCGCTTGGTTCCGTGCTCCCTGTGTGCCTTCCTGGCCTCGTTTGGTACCTCACCCGATCCGGCGGCTTTGAAACCTTCAACTTTCCTACTGCTTAACGAAACCATCATCATTTACCCGTTCAGGATGGGATGAGGCCAGCCTTGCCCTTATCTGAAAGCTGTTCATACTTGAATTCCTTGTTCAAGAGCCGTTCGGTGTATTCTTCCCACTTACGCCTGACCGCACCATTCTTCGTCAGAATTGTTGTCCATTGTGCCCTCACTACTCTGATATGTTGAGCAGCTCGGTGCTTTCTTTTGGTCAAGCGAAAGACGAAATTCTCTCTTTCGCAACCATCGAGCTTCTCATACAAAACGTTCATTTATATATTCTTTCATTCTTACGACAGCCTTGTGAAGCCACTTGCAACTTCTACAAACAGCTCGCTCTTCTCGAGCTCGCTTGTTAATGCTTCACAGCTCGCTGGACCTTCATCGTCTCAGAACCACGCTTTCTTGCCTCCTCAAAATCCACCTGGAATCTCTCACTGCGCTTTCCTTCCATCCGTAGAATGACTTTCAAAGTGTTACGTCAGGCCTGCTGCATCAGCCCTTCGATATGTGGGAAACCTTATCCCAATATCTTCCATTCGAGCCCCTCCTTTTCGGCTCGGTGCAGCATCCACTACCGTATCCTCCGTTACGCTCTTGTTTTTGGTTTATTGAGAGGATCGATGTCTATGTCTGCAATAAAAGACCTGTAGTCTTGAACTAGATCTTTACCAGGCAGTACATTGATGCTTCCTGCTACTCCTGTAGGTAAGGTTTCGCGTTTCCCTGAACTTTCTCTGATCTCTCTTTCCCTGAAGAAATTGCTGCAGATCACCACATTGCGGACCCTCTCTCCTACTTCGTTTCTCCTATTCTTCTTTCCTTCCTAGACTCTGTTCATTTACTCCCGTCTTCTTTAGCTGGAGGCGTGCCTAGTTGGATCACCTCCTACGATGAGATAGTCTCCTTACACTGATCAAACGACATCGTCGAAGCGCATGGAGAACGCGATTATATTGAACTCGGGCGCAGCCCGCTTGTGGTCCGCACACGGACATAATTGGCTAGTACCAATTTTTTGCGTCTTAAAAGCCATGACTCGGCAGCAGATCCTGTTGCGACAAGAGCGAAGACAAAGCCTTTCAGCGAGACCGCCACTGCTATAGGCACACCAATGGGCCTCTGCCTTGCCGCCCTGGGCCTTCTCAGTTGTAATGAAGTTTTACATCCTCTACGAATATCCTAGCCTTTGCTCCTTCTCAGCAGCTGAAGGCCCAGGACTCGCATATTCCTGTTTCTTCTCGGATCGCCAACTTCGGGGCTTCCCTTAAGGCGACACCGCTTTTAGAGTCTCAGTTCGAACTGAGTTCTTCTGCCGAGATAGTTCATTTTTCGGTAGTCCCCGCATAATGTGCACACGACTCGGGCAGGGTTGTGTGCGATTTCTCAGAGTGACATCCTCGTTTTATATCTAGCTCCTAGTGAGACGTCGGACATATTCTGACGTTGGCAAGGACAGCGTTTTTGCAATTTTTTAGCGAGGCATGGTTTTTGCGTCACCTGGGTTCGAAATCGCGTTCTATATGCATGAGTAACGAATAAGGATTCAGTGATAACCGCTCGGCTGTCCCTGCTTCGATGCTATCACATTAATAACATTCCAAGAAACACAACTTGTTAAGGCGGACCGACCTAGACGACATAGAGGAACTCGTCAAAGAGAAAGAAGGTTTGGATGGAAGAACGATGATCGTATCTACTACAATACCTGCACAGGAAATAAGCAAACTTTACGCTCAACCGTTGCCAAACGTGTTAGGAAAGGAAAACAGCGAAGCCCTAGCTCGCAAAATCGTAGATTTCGGTAAGAATTAGAAAACATGTTGGTTAAACATCCCGAAACTGTAACACCAGCAACGAAAGCCTTCGTTGTTTTAGTACACGAACTTGTAACTATTTGCTCTTTTCGTTAGAGTGAGTTAGCACGGAGCAACGAAAAGTATAAAAACATCGGGAAAAAGACAGGCATCTGAAAAGTGGGTGTAAAAAATGTCTAACGCCTTCCTTTTTTGAAATGTATATAGTGTTGCTCTTCATAGCTTGTGTCAAAACCAAGTAATAGGCCACAACGCTTACGAGGGATTTATCCCAGCGAAAACAAGTTTATAACCCAATAGTCGAGGGGGGGGGGGGGGGGGGGGGGGGTNAGTTGGTATTTGGGTCCAATTCTACTTACTTCGCACCTTCCTCGCCCATCCACTCACTGGCCTGTGGGGTGACTCCCTAATTGGTTGGCTGGTGAGCTCTCTGACTGTCTCAGTGAACTCATATTGATTACATGAATTGGAAACTTTATCGTTATTATTATTATTGTTATTATTTCTATTATTATCGATATTGTTATTACTACATAGTAAAGACAAGACATGGAATAAAGCGAAGAGTATCACATTATATGAAAACTAGGTAGCTTCATCAGAAATCGTCTCCAGAAATCTTTTCGTATACGATTACCCTACTTTTGCTCTATTATGCTATGCACTATTAAATATACTAAATCAGCACGTGATGCTTTCCTCTCTTGCTTGCTCGCCTTTCGCCAACATACGTTTGCGCTTGGGTGTACTCCAAATTTGAGGTAGCTATAGCTGCTCCGAGGATGTCTGGAAACTAAGGGTTTTGTTATACAAAGCTAACAGTGATTCGGGGTTCTGAGAGTAAATTGAAGGGGTTTGGAGTTACAGTATCGGAGGAAACAAAAAGGTAATGTGCAAGTTGTGGAAATTGTGAAGCTGCATAACGTAGTAGTGGCACAGTGTATCCGGTGGGCTAGCTCAATACTGGGAATAAGAAGGAGCAAAGCTAACCTCTAGAGCCGGAGAAAGCGCTGTGATCTAATTCAGAGTGTTCATCGCATGACAAGTACACTACAGAGGAGATTTGTAATGCTCTCATCTACATGTTTAAATGCCTTCAGGTCATTCTTGAAAAAGCGATACAAGGTGTTAGAAAAACTGTAAAGGGATACTGTCTGTTAACTAGTTTGCTTGCAGGCGCCTTGAGAGGATGAATGCTTTGCACAATGCAATAAATTCATTTCCACATTTCTATGATTTTTCCAACGATACCTTCAGCTTGCACAGCTTTCTGAGTTGCATTACTTATGTGTAGCATTTCTTGTTTTCTTTTTTATTTCTCATGCTTTGAGTGTAACGTAGTTTCTCCCTCATGCATTCGATATTGTTACACGTCAACCTAGTGATCCGACAGAGAGGTCACCAGCAAGCCAACTGAGCGAGGTCACCCAGCAGGCAAGTGAGTGGATGGGCGAGGAATGTGCGAAGTAAGTAAAATTGGACCTAAATTGACTCATCCTAATCAAGGGCACTGGTGGCAAGAACACAACAATCGCGTAAAGCTTGCTGGATTTCTACCTTCCGATCAAGGCACAGAAGGCGTTTCTGAGTATTGTGGTTGACCCCTGAAGAATACTTCGATGTACCTCACCTTCTCAGGTGTGTCAGAAAAAAATGCACCGAGCAATTCGAGAACTTACCCTTCTGACACTTCTGTGACACTTATAACATCTAGCCTTATTATCTTACAATGCCTTCATCTGACTAATGATACTCCACGTACTGCAGCATCCACAGCAACAACTAATTCGACCAGCAGTACCCCCACAACCTCTCCGATGAACACGACCTCATCTCCTCCGACTACAGTTCGATCAAGCTCCACTACTGCAGCACCCTTAACGACAACTACTGTTCCAACAAGCAACACCATTACAGCATTGCCGACGACTACAACTACATCTCCTACCACAACAGCTCAAACAACCACCACTACTGCATCACCCACAACGACAACTACTGTTCCATTAACCACTACCACTACAACCTCATCCACGACCACAACCACATCTCCTACCACAATGGTTCAAACAACCACCACTACTGCAGCACCCACAACGACAACTACTGTTCCATTAACCACTACCACTACAATCTCGCCGGCGACCACAACCACATCTCCTACCACAATGGTTCAAACAACAACCACCACTGCAGCACCCAAAACGACAACTACTGTTCCATTAACCACTACCACTACAACCTCATCGACGACCACAACTACATCTCCTACCACAACAGCTCAAACAACCGCCACTACTGCAGCACCCACAACGACAACTACTCTTCCATTAACCACTACCACTACAATCTCGCCGGCGACCACAACCACATCTCCTACCACAA